TTCCTCTCTTAAATCCTGTTGAGAAAAAGTTATTATACCTGGTGACTCAGATGTGAAGAATCCACCTTCAGTGCGGGAGACCTAGGTTTGATCCTGGGTTGGGAGGATCCCCGGAGGAGGGCATGACAGTGCACCCCAATGTTCTTGTCTGGAGAATTCCATGGACAGAGGAGCCTGGCGGGCTACAGTCCCTGGGTCACAAAGAGTTGGACATGACTGAGTGTCTAAGCACACACAGAGAGATCCTGGAGAGGGAGGGGAAATTCTTTTTCCTTCTACCTCCCTAGGTTCTCCAGCTGAAGCCCCATTGATGGGACTGACAACAGACAGGGCAACAAGAGAAAAACAAACCAGAAATTTTTTTAGCACATGCATCCTTCGTTCACGTGACATCCAGTGATGAGTCGCTCAAAGGGACGGTTAGACTGGGCTGTCTACACCCCTGAGTCAAGGCAGGGGTAGGGGTGATAAGGGGGAAAAAGGGCACTTATGTAAAAGCAAATGACTTTCTGGAAAATAAATGTGCCCTTAGCAGAGCAGGGAGGAGAAATGATCATTTGTGCAGGCATCTGGGCGGGGCACCTGAAGAGACTGCAGAGTTGCCCAGGGAGGGGAATTATGACAGTTTCTTCTTTGAGGGAGGTTCTGCTTTTAGACAGAGAAGAGGCTTCAGGATCTCAAATGCTTTCAGCTCAAAATCACTTCTGTGCCAAATGGCCTATTTTGGGATGACCAGTCCTGATCCTCTTTACCATGTATATGTTCAGGAAGAAGCTTCTGTCCGATAACCCCGGTGTGCCGCGGTGTCTCTGCATGAGGAACAGTGCTGGTAAGGAATCCCTTGGCCACTGGGAGAGAGAAAGGCTCACCTCTGGCATTTATCTCTCATTCTTCGTCCCCTCCGAGGCTGCTATCACCAGTCCTACCTGGAGGGCACCCAGGCTGAAAAGGTTTTGGGTGAGAGATGAGGTGTCAGGCTTCACAAAAAGGCAAGAGAAGAGAGATGCTAAGAAATTGTTCATGGGTGAGGTGGGCCCCACCCGATCACTGGCCATTCCTAGATCTGTATGTTCCTCTGTACAGGTACATTCTCAGCCCTTCTATTAAGGATCTCACAAACCAGACAAATCTAACCATTCATTGCCTTGAAAATATTTAACCTTCTCACTTATTGAAGTTTGTGGGAGGTAAATTGAAATTGTTGATTTCAGTGGAAGCAGATCACAATTACACTTTATTCTGCAGACAAGAGTTGCTCAAGCCTTAGGACTGGATGCAGCTTTGGCGTTTTTACATTGAAAAGTGCTAGTAGAAGTGCAACGTGATATAAGGCAAGTTTATTTGAATTTTTGTTTTAAAAAAGAAACTTTCTCTGTGCCACCCTTTGTCCCCTTCCTTTTGCTTCCAATATCTCTGTGTGAGATATGAACCACTTCCAAACATGTTAAACTTGAAGCCCTACTTAGTTTCTCAGGCTCATTACCAAGGATTTAAAACCTCTCTATTCATTCGACAACAATGGTTTCCATGGCAATTACTGCAACACATGACATTCCCTGCAGCTCTGCTTAAAAATGCACCAGCAGAAATGGCTACACACCAACTCAGTCCTTAGCAAAGGCTAGACTAGGCGGATTTTCTTCTCACTGATGCTGGCCTTGAGAAATTAATAATAATAATGATAATAATAATAATAAGTCAATTGATCATTTTGATTTCTTTGTACAATATTGATTTTCTCCTTTTATTTCCACCCATCACACCTGTGAAGACATAATTTCTTGCAGCAAATCATTTGAATTGCATTTGTATAAAGGTGGCTGGGGTGAAGACAAAGTACTGACCATAATTCCCATCATCCCATTACCCCTTTTCATCTCTTTCTGACTCTACATTCATTTTCTGTAGCCCTTTCCCCTTCTAAGAGAGACATAAATTCTGAAAGAATAAGTAGAGTGCCAAAGCAAAAACCCGGACGGAGCAGAGAATCACCTTCTACACAATCTGTCTGCCCTTCCTGCCTGCCACCAAGGAGTCAAACAAAAGGTGCACTTAAAATTCACCCACAAGAAATAGCTCGTCCAGTGAATACACTCGTCAGTGAGGATACCTTTCATTGAGCACAGGTGATGTGCAGGTACCGTGGCAAGAGCTTTGCATTAATTACTTCATCACCATCCTGTGAGATCTGTGTTTTCAGCTCTGTACAAATTAAGAAATGCATGCTCAGAGAGAAAGAAATTTGTTTGAGATCATGCAGCCAGATGAGTCAGAACTGTGATTTTTTTTTAACCCAAATTGACCTGGCTCCAGAGCCCATGCTCTTAAATTAACTGATAAAAAGATTCATGTCTCACTCAGGTTTGAGAGAAGAGAGAGTGGGGAAAGGACAGTCAAGAGGTCCAAGCTGTTACCTGAGCTCTTGGACAGACTCCTGTACACTGGCTGCGACAATTCTAAACAAGTCTCTGCAGTCTTATCCCCTCATTTTCTTGGGAAATGTTATAATAATGGTGATGTTGACCTGCTTCCCTGGGTTATGTAACAAGGGACTGTGAAATAAAAAACAGGGGAGAGTTTGGAAATGCTAAGCTGTAGTGATGGTGATCATAAACCCACAGTGAGAGACATATGCTAAGGAAAGACAGAGGGAAAACACACAGAACAAGAAAGCTTTAAAACAAATGGGAAGAGGGGCTTGGCCCAGGAAAAATGAAAAATATAATCCAGTTACCCTCATTCTGTCAAGCCCTAAGCAGATGTGTTGGACAAGAAATACAGCTCCTGATTCTAGCTTCTGGAAGCTTCTGGAAGACATGACTCTAGAGGAGACTATCTGGGTCATTCCTGACTATTTTCAGTCCAGAAATACATAAGGCTCTGGAAGATTTTGTGCATGTGTGTTCAGTTCTTCACAAGGAAGGATTGTGGACATAGAGGTTTCCTTTTAAGAAGCATTGTGGTGATGCAAATATCAGTTTTTTTTTCTGCTTGGGAGCCCATTTATGTAACCATTAAATAAGGAGCTACATTAGCTTCATATTAAGGTAATAGCTATGCTTATCTAATTTTGCATTTACTTTACTTAAGCTGTCCTCAATGATGGATGATACCTTTAATTAAAGGTTAGCAATTAATGAAGTGGTTGAGGTTACCATGCTTGACTTTATGTTTATTTAGCAGAAATGAAACATGGAGGACCTTTGCATCATCTTCTCTTTTCCTACACTTTAGAAGCTATTTAAAGGAAAACTTTGGAATAATACTCATCCATGTATTTTTGTGAAAAGAATTATTGAGTAAAAAAATAATGGGATTTTATTTTAAGACTAGAGAGTCATGTAATACTTCCAACAAACAGATGAAGAAAAGTGCGCTGACTTTAAAATTCAGTACAGTTGGTCTAAATCCCCAGTTGCCATTTACAGATCAATTAAACTTTGGCAGAGGTCACCGGGTGGGCTCCGCAAGGGTGCTGACTCTAAAACAGAGATGGAATATGGCAGATTTATCTGGGAGTGCCCTTGGGATGTACATCCAGGGAAAGGAAGAGAAGGCAAGAGCTAGAAGTAGGATGGAACAGAGAGAGAAGCTGAGATTTCCCACAGTCTCAGCTGGCTCTCTAAGAGTTTTCAGCTGGCTCTCTAAGAAGCCCTGAAGCTGGGGTGACCCTTCAGAATGGTCCTGCGTTTAAGTGAGGGACCAGGCCCTTGTCATTCCCACACTGATTATTCATTGGATGGAGTCCACCCAGGAAGAGGCCATGACTCTGGGCAATGGGATTCCTTTCAGCAGAGGCGCAAGCAATGATCCACCTGCCAGAAGCACCCTCAACATCTGGGGAAATACATTCTGGAAATTGGATATGGACAGCACATCACAACATCTGAAATGATACACTGTATCCATCCATCCATCCATTTATTCAACAGGTAGTTATGGACCTGCTGCCATCTACAATTAGGGTACCCAGTGATTAAGTGACCACCAAACCAGACCAGGCCCTTACCCTCATGAAACTTTCACCCCAGAAGAGTTTGGACTGAAGGAAGGGGTTGCACCGAAGGAAAAGAAACAAATGAAATGATTACAGAGTGACAGTACTATAAAGAAAATAGAGTGGTAAGTTAGGGATTCTTGAGAGCTGAGGCCACTTTAAATATAGCCCCTTCAAAAAGAAAAGATTGAAGAATGAATAGACAATAAGGGAGTGGAGAGAATGAGAGTGAGGAATTCATTTGAAAACAATGGCCATGCGATAAAGGAAAGAGACCAGAGCTGCAGGAGGACCTGGTGTCAAAAAATGTCATTGCTTGCTTTTTGACAACGGGTTTGCTGCCAGGACACAGGTGTCATGAAAACCACCATTAAACCTAAGCCAAAATGGGAAAGGAGAAGACCCGCATCAACATCGCTGTCATTGGGCACGTAGATTCAGGGAAGACCACCACGACTGGCCATCTGGTCTACAATGTGACGGGATCGACAAGAGAACAACTGAAAAGTTCAAGAAGGAGGCTGCCGAGATGGGAAAGGGCCCCTTTCAAATATGCCGGGTCTTGGACAAGCTGAAAGCTGAACGTGAGCCTGGTATCACCACTGATATCTCCCTGTGGAAATTTGAGACCAACAAGTACTGTGTTACCATCACTGATGCCCCAGGACACAGAGACTTCATCAAAAACATGATTACAGGCACAGTCCAGGCTGACTGTGCTGTCCTGATTGTTGCTTGCTGGTGTTGGTGAATTTGAAGCCGGTATCTCCAAGAACAGGCAGATCTGTGAGCATGCCCTTCTGGCTTACACTCTGGGTGTGAAGCAACTCATTATTGGAGTTAACAAAATGGATTCCACTGAGCCACCCTATAGCCAGAAGAGATACGAGGAAATTGTTAAGGAAGTCAGCACCTACATTAAGAAAATTGGCTACAACCCCAACATGGTAGCATTTGTGCCACTGGCTGGAATGGTGATAATGTGCTGGAGCCAAGTGCTAACATGCCATGGTTCAAGGGATGGAAAGTCACCCGAAAGGACGGCAATGCCAGTGGAACCACCCTGCCTGAAGCTCTAGATTGCATCCTGCCACCAACTCACCCAGCTGACAAACCCCTGCGTTTGCCTCTCCAGGATGTCTATAAAATTGGTGGTATTGGCCCTGTCCCTGTGGGTCGTGTGGAGACTGGTGTTCTCAAACCTGGCACGGTGGTCACCTTTGCTCCAGTCAATGTAACAACTGAAGTGAAGTCTGTAGAAATGCACCATGAAGCATTGCGTGAAGCCCTTCCTGGGGACAATGTGGGCTTCGATGTCAAGAATGTGTCTGTCAAAGACGTCCGTCGTGGCAATGTGGCTGGAGACAGCAAACATGATCCACCCATGGAAGCTGCTGGCTTCACAGCTCAGGTGATTATTTTGAACCATCCAGGCCAGATCAGTGCTGGTTATGCACCTGTGCTGGATTGTCACACAGCTCACATTGGTTGCAAGTTTGCTCAGCTGAAGGAGAAGATTGATCGTCGTTCTGGGGAAAAGCTGGAAGATGGCCCTAAATTCTTGAAATCTGGTGCCGCTGCCATCGTTGATATGGTTCCTGGCAAGTCAAAGTGTTTCGAGAGCTTCTCTGACTCTCCTCCCCTGGGCCGTTTTGCTGTGCGTGACGAGGCAGTTCCTGTGGGTGTCATCAGAGCAGTGGACAAGAAGAGAGCTGGAGCTGGCAAGGTCACCAAGTCTGCCCAGAAAGCTCAGAAGGCTAAATGAATATTATCCCCAACACCTGCCACCCCAGTCTTAATCAGCGGTGGAAGAACGGTCTCAGAACTGTTTGTCTCGATTGGCCATTTAAGTTTAATAGTAAAAGACTGGTTAATGATAACAGTGCATCATAAAACCTTCAGAAGGAAAGGAGAATGTTTTTGTGGACCATATGTTTTGTGTGTGGCAGTTTAAGTTATTAGTTTTTAAAATCAGTACTTTTTAATGAAAACAACTTGACCGAAAATCTGTCACAGAATTTGAGACCCACTAAAAAAAATTTTAATGAGAAACCTGTGTCTTCTTTTGGTCAACACTGTAACTCCCTATAGTACTAGTTTGATAAGAGTTGCTCATAAGCTATTTCTGGTAAAACAATTTTCAAATTATAGGTTTGTATTTCTAGGGTGGAGCTTCAGGTTTGTTAACCTTGTGTTGAGAACTCATCTGTTTTAATAACATTTTAAGCATTGGTGCAACACTTTCTGGATTAGGACAGATGAGCAAAGAGTAACTATGTTTTATAAGTAAGCTAGTTTGTAAAGTCAGATTCTGTACTATAAACGCTGTTGCATATAAACTTTTGTATGATTACATAAATAATGAGTAAATCTATGTCATTTAGTTTCCCAGTTATGAGGATGTGCGTTCACATTTATTATAAGTAGTTAATCTAAAATGTGAGGCTTAAACAGTATTGAGTACTGCCCTGCTAGAGTTAATTGTATATAGGTTCTAGGAAAAATAAAAGATACTGGAAGCTAAAAAAAAAAAAAAAAGTCATTGCTATTTTCTTGAGATGTTTACAAGGCAACTGAATAGAGAGGAAGGAAAACATGGGTCAGGAGAGAAAAGATAACTCAAGAAGCAATGTCCCAGAGCAGGAGTTAGTGAAGTAGGGCCTGAAATCCAAACTAGCATCTGTTTTCGTAAACGTTTTACATGCAACATCCGCTTGACAACTTACTGTCTACCATTGCTTTCACACTGCAGTATCAACTTTGAGAAGTTGTGACAGGGAACTTACACCCACAGAGCCTGGAATTTTTGCTGTCTGGGACTTTACCACAAACATCTGCTGACTTCTGGTCTAGGGGAAGGAAAAGAGAAGTACAGATCGGGATGTACAGTGATGGAGAAGAGAAGGGAGTTAGATTTTGATGGCTTCCGTTTCCTCCCATGACAAATTAAATAAGAATGTGAGGAGTTGGGAGCATTTGTAAAGAGAAGTTTTGAAGTTCTTTGTTTAGTGAATTTACCATCAAAGTGTAGTAGAATTCAAAGGAGTGGTATTGATTGCTCCTTGGAGTTCTGGTCACAAATTTAAAGTAAACTCAAGTTTTAAAAGGTACTACCAGTTAAGATGTTATAATGTTTATGCTTTGCCATCACTTCCTCTCTTCCAACCCACAGCAGTGAGAAATAAAATATAAAAAGAATAAAGTAAAAAGAGTTGATTGAGCTCAGGAAGAAGATAATCCTCTCAGTTTACTCAAACAGAGCAGAAAAGTAAGACAGTATTTGCAGTTGAAGCTGTGAGGCTGCTGGTAACTGGTCTAGAATCAAGCATTGATGGTTATAAATGCATATCCCTCAGGTTAGGGGATAAAATATGTTTTATTTCAGGCTCTCTTAAAGCTGAGATCTGGGCTTATACATCACTTAGGTTTAGCAGAAGAAACAAAAAGGTTTAGCAGAAGAAACAAAATGTTCTAGAAATTTGAAGCATAGGGGAATTTAATACAAAGAAAATCACTGGGAAGGTGAAGAAGCAGCTTCTTAGGCTGGGTATCTTGGGATGACTTCCAGAACACCATGGGACCAGCCACTAGGGGGCCACAGCTTTTGCAGCTTTGGGAGCTGCCCTAGGTAAGCAGGTGCTCAAAACCTGGACATCAGGAGAATGTTAACTAGAAACTGCCTCAGGAAAACACTACCCTTGCTACCCATCAGAGACAAACAAAAGCTTCACGAAGATTGCTTCTACCTCACTTGCACTTTCCTAATCCAGCATGGATGTACTTAATTGGCAGAGCCTAAATCACATCTGAGAAAGAATTTGTAGCTTTCCATAGAATTGACACTTTTGAACTGTGGTATTGGAGAAAATTCCAGAGTCCCTTGGACAGCAAGGAGATCCAACCAGTCCATCCTAAAGGAAATCAGTCCTGAATATTCATTGGAAGGACTGATGCTGAACCTGAAACTCCAATACTTTGGCCACCTGATGTGAAGAACTGACTCATTTGAAAAGACCATGATGCTGAGAAAGATTGAAGGCAGAAGGGAACGACAGAGAATGAGATGGTTGGATGGCATCACCGACTCAATGGACATGAGTTTGAGTAAGCTCTGGGAGTTGGTGATAGATAGGGAAGCCTGGCATGCTGCAGTCCATGGGGTCGCAAAGGGTCGGACACGACTGAACCTAACTGAACTGAACCTCTCCAGATAAAAGGAAACAGCAATGAAAGTGAAAGTGGTTCAGTTGTGTCCTAGTCCTTGTGACTCCATGGCTGTAGCCCAGTAGACTCCTCTGTCCATGGGATTCTCCAGGCAAGAATCCCGGAGTGGGTTGCCATTCCCTCCTCCAGGGAATCTTCCCGACCCAAGTATCAAGCCACCCTGGCTCACATGGTAAAATATCTGCCTGCAACGCAGGAGACTTAGGTTCAAACTTACCACAGTGACGTGTCATAACATAAATTGTTGCTGACCGGAGCCCCAGGGTCTTTCATTATAAATAATTATGAAATCTTTTGAAATAAATGGGGGAGAAAAAAGTCCTCAGGGACAGAAACTGAGTCAGATCACTTCCTGGGTCCATGAACGATCTGGTGAGCCCTGAGACACCATTGTTGTATTTACACCTGAATAGTGACATGCATAATGTATTTCTGAAAAAGAGTCCGGGCCAAGGAACCACACTGCAGAGTAAGTCTTCTAAGAGTTCCTACTTGTAAGGCTTAAGTTAGATATAAAGGGAACCCAGAAAATTATTTTTTATTGGGGCAGTTTAGTGTCTGTTGAGGTCCCTTGTATGTTTCTTTTCTCCCCTGGATGTTACTAAATTAAATCTTACAACTAAATTTCAGGATTCTTGGAATTCATACCTTATCTGCATTGCCTTACAATTCCATCAGTATCCAAGAGTTTTATGTAGCTGTATGTCTTCTTTTTTTAAAAAAAATATTTTAACTTTCTTGGAGCTGTTGTTTGGTTGTAAAGTCGTGTTTGACTCTTTGTGACCCCATGGACTGTAGTGTGGTAGGCTGCGCTGTACTTCACTATGTCCTGGAGTTTGCTCAAACTCATGTCTATGAGTCGATGATGCAATCCAACCATCTCATCTTCTATCACCCCCTTCTCCTCCTGCCTTCAATATTTCCCATCATCAGGGTCTTTTCCAATGACTCGGCTCTTTACACAGTTGATTTACGATGTTGTGTTAGTTTAAGATGTACAGCAAAGTGACTGCTATACATATATTCATTTTTGTTAGGTTCTATTCTCATATAGGTTATCACAGAATATAGGGTAGAGTTCCCTATGCTATATAGTAGGTCCCTGGCAGTGTCTATCTTATATGTAGTAGAGTGCATGTGTTCATCCAAAGCTCCTCATTTATCCCTCCCCCTTATATCATATTACTCTTTAGGGAAGTAATCTGTACCAAACCAATATTGGATTCTCTTTATCAAGAAATCTACAGTCCAATGAAATAATAGCAGAAAATAGATCATTATGAGTACATACACTTATGTTTTTATTGCTTATATTGATAATAAATACAATATGTAAACATCCTGCAATATACAGATAAAATCTATCTGTAACATAAGTTTAAAATCTGTAAATAAGGCTCAAATTAAACAAGAAATAGAGCATTCTGATTAATCAAGTATTTTAGACTTCACCTGATTAAAAAGTTAAATAAAAATACTTATTGAGCAGGATCTCCCTGATGGTCTAGTGGTTAAGACTCTGTGCTTCCAATGCAGGGAACACGAGTTCAATCCCTAGTTGAGAAACTAAGAGCCCTCATGCTGAGCAGTGCAGCTGAAAAATTAAAAAGAAAAAAATTATTGCACCCCTTGCACATTTAGGGTGATGATTTCAGTGTCACAAGTGATACAAAGAAGTATCAAAAAATGTCCCTAATTTCCAGAATTTTAGCTTATGTATTTTTAAATTTATAGAATATTTTATAAAAGCCATTCAATATCAAATATCTAATTGAAGTGTTACTCAGATTATTTTAAAAATTGCTCTGGATGTTCAGAGCAGAAAAGGGTTAATGTGGTCTGATCTGGTCAAAGAGAACTTTAGAGAGAGTCTGTGTTTTTAAAGAGAAATTGGAAAGTTTAAAATGGTTAACATATAAATTTGGAATATATATATATTTGGAAACAGAAATGCAGAAGACATGCTCCATAGCATCAACTTCTTAGATAAAGGGTGTTTGCACAGGAATCATGGGGCAATAAGGTTACGTGGTGAAAGACCTGGATGTCAAAGACATTAACCCCCCAGTAGGTATTTGGAGCCAATAGAAGACTTTGGGGCAGATAAAGATACTATGAGAGCAAGAAAGTAGGACTAACTGATGACAAGATACAAGTAGGGTTATATAAGAAAGACATTAGAGGTTTGACATATTGTTGGTGGTATAATATAGTGCCAGGCATGAAAGGTTACACCTCTGCTCCAAAGTAAGGAGAAAAGTGAAGAATAAAGGTCTGAATAAGAAAAACATTATGATCAACCAACAGACACTCATACTAATTATTAGCAGTGAGATGACAACAAGAAATAAAAAAACAGAGACTCCAGAGAATCCTGCAAGATTCAATTTAGTTAGGAAAACTGAAGTATTTCCCATGAAAATAGTGAAAAACAGGAAAGAAAGCTGTTTTATCTCAAACCAAGTATTATTATAATTTTGAGGGATAATATGTACAAGCAACCCCAAAATTAGTAGCTGACAATGTGTATGTTCATGCTTT